GGTCACGGGCAGATCACAGCTCCCTGGAGGGCTGGCACCGTTTGGTCATGGGCTGCATGAAGTGGGGAACAGCTGCCTGCTGGGGCAAACGGGTTTGGTTGGTATTTTTCCTAAATAGCTTTTAATCCTTCACATTTTCCTCCCTCTTTGTACCCTGCTTTTCCCTTGGCACAGGGGGCTCCTCCGCCCTCGGGGCTCACCAGGCATGGACATTGAGACAGGGCCACCCTCTGACACATCCCAGTCCCACGCTGGGATCCAGTGGGAAAGCAACGGCCCCCAGGGAGCCTTCTCCAGCCTCTCCTGGAGCAGGGGCAGGTTAGGCTGCTGGCCAGAGTGGCCACCGTGGTGGGCATGGGCTATGCCAGGGAGGGGTCAGCTGAGAACAAGAAGAATGCCTGCGTAGGCTTCATGCTGCATGGCTGGGCTGAAGGAGGCTCTTCCTTTGAGCCACAGCCAAGTGTGGGGATGAGCTTAAGCCAGTCTTGAGTGCCAATAAAATAAGCAGTCGAGGGTATTCCTGGGCCTGGTGAGGAAACTCTCCCAAACTGATTTTTCACTTCCTTTAGCCACGCAACAGTTTTAACGCTGCAAAACTTCAACGCTGAGAAGCCCCAAAGCCTGGCTTTAAAACAAGGGGCTTTGCTGTTTGTGCCAGAACAGCCCACGAGCTCGCTCTCCCATCTGCCTGCTGCTTTCAGGAGCCACACGCTCACAAGAGGACCCGTTGCTGAAGTGTTTCCCTGCTGTCTGGAAGGCTGGGTGCATTTCTTCCATCCCCAGATGAATCTCCCAGTGAAATGACATATCCTGAGGCTTGGCCATCACCAGATTCTCTAAGGAAATCAGAGCAGGGATGTGATGATTATCCTCACTGGGATTTTCCCCATGCTTTCCACCCTCAGGGGTGGATAGAGCTCACCCCTACTCCAGCTCTCTTTGGAAGACAGGGAAAATGCATCCTCACCCCAAAATGAACCATGCTGGAGGGATGCACACAGCTAGGAGTGCCAGGCATGGCCTGGAGCACACCCAGATGCCCAGACACCAGTGCAGCACGAGTCCTGAGCTGACTGAGGGTACCCGTGCCAGGGGGGCCCCAAAATTGAGGCCCAGGGCAGCAGCTGAAACCTGGTGCCCGAGTGGCAGATGTGTGGTATCTTTCTGACTGGGAGGAAGGGGCAGGGCAGCATCCTTTCCCACCGAGGGAAGGAGAGCTGTTGTCTAGACGATGTGACTAAGGAGGGAAGGGGCCCGACTGTTTGTACAGCCCCGGGGAGTGTAAACAGTGCCGACTGTCCTTCAAAGCACAGGAACCCGGAGAGGGGATGAAAGCACAGGGAAATTCTGGCCGGGTGTCCAAATAGAGCAGCTGAGGAGAAAAGGGATGTCTCTGAGATAAATCCCACAGCACCCCAGTCACTCCAGAACAGCCTGGCTGCTGGGCAGGGAGCGGGGGGACCCTGGGCTCCCAGGACTTTCCCAGCTTGGATCACTTCTCTTTGCAATCTCAGAATTAAGTGGCCTGAAGATGACACTGGAGGCCCTGAGAATCCCACCTCTGCCCCACAGCCAGCTGGTTTGACCTCTGAGGATCATTCCACTCACAAAAGAAAGAGAAAATGTTGTTTGAGAGGTGGTTTCCTTTTTTTTTTTCCTTTTTTTTTTACAACTTTAAATACAGTACTGAGTATAAATTAATCTTACATTTAAAAAAAAAGAAAGAAAAAAAAATTCAAATAAAATAAAACCTCACCATCTTTACAAACCAAAGGAAACAGAATCTGGAACAGGAAAACAGTGAATTAGGACTTCAGGGCTTGGGGGTGGAGGAAGGTGGTACAAGAAGTGCCTTGGCAGTGGTAGGACAAGTGCTCTGGGCTTGCAGGAGGCAAGGGCTGGGTCCCTCCACAACTTGTAACAGCTCCAGGTTGTGGCTTCGCCTCCTTCCCCAGCTCCCTCTGGGGCTTTGCTCCACGACAAGGGGGGGGGTGTGTGTGAGGGGAGAAGCAGCAGGAGGCAGGGGGAGAAGGGGAAGGGGAGTGCTGCTGCCTCAGCTCCAGGCAGGCATTTCCTTGGTGTGCAAGCCTGCAGCTCCCAGGAGGGTGTGATCTGAGGCCTGGGCTCCAAGGTGACACTGGAAATTCCCCTCATGTGGAACATTTCTGCTGAGGGTGACTGAGTATTGGGTGTGCAGAAGCAGCCTGTGCCTGCAGAGTCCTCCTCCCTCCTCTGGAGCAGGGAGTGGTCTGGGAGGGACTCTACAACTGACCCTCTGGTTGTTCTCTGGGTCCTCCTCACTGAGGACTTGTTTCTGTCTCAGAGGGCTGCTGCCAACTGCAAAGACCATCCTGCTTTCTTTCTCCATACCTCCACAAAGCTGCCCACACCTCAGACCAAATTCCAAGCCAAGCAGGCTGGGAACACCCAGTGGCCAAAAATCCAGAAGGAATTTGAGGGGGAAGATGTGAGGACAAGGACAGGAGATGCAGGGACACGGGCAGGGAGTGAGCAGTGGAGACAGTGTGCAGGGCACCCCTGAAGGGGTTAAAAACCTCGGGGGAACGACATGATTCTGCTTTCAGGACCACAGAGCTTATGAGGACAGCTCACTGAGATTAAGTCATGCTTCTAAGTTGGGCTGTTGTTGGTCTTGTTGTGGTGCCACTTCACCTCCTGCAAGGAAGTTGTGCTGGGGAGGGGGGGGGGTTGGTGGAAAGTGAGAGAAAAGGGCAAGGAGACAGGGAGAGAGAGAGAGATCAGGTGATGCCTCTGCCTGTCTGAGCTTCCTGCCACCAGGGAATGCAATCCATTTAAGAACATATATATATATATATTTAGATATGTATGTATAAATACACATCCACACGCACACACACACGTATATACACACACACACAGATACAGGCACACACATACAGAGCCCATTTAAAAACATCCTTTGAGTCTGAGCCTGGAAAGTTGAATTCTCCACCAGCATGTGCAAAGATGGCTCCCCAGGAGAGGGGCCGGGGGCGTGGAGACGATTCTGCTGCCATCTGCTCCTTCCCCACCATCCAAACACCTTCCAGTCAGCACCAGGAGCAGGAGGGGAAAGGGAGGGGAGGAATGCATTTGGCTTCTTCGTTTCCTCGTTGGTTTGTTGCTGCTGTTTTGATCTGTTCCCCGAGATGTTGTGTTATCTTAGTGGTTTTGGTTTTTTGTTTTGTTTTTTTTTCTTTTAAAATAAAATATACACACGCACGTTAAAAATATAGATCTGTCCAGGTAGGGTGATCAAAGTCCTTAGTGCATTTTCCATCACCAGTTGCCACTCGCCATCTGAGAGATGCCTGTGTCCAAGGTGTAGGTCCAGTGCAAGCCTTGGTGTCAGCTGGGCCCCCCCCAGCCTCCCCAGAAACACAAGGGGAAGGGAGAATATTCCCCCCCCTCCCTCTGTCTGTGTTTCTCCCCTCCCCTCCAAAGTCTTGGACCCACTTTCACATTTTCCATCCTGTCCTCTGGAGCAGGGAAGGAACTGTCCTGTCCTCGTCGCACGGTGTGGCCATCGGGGGTTCAGGGGTTTAGCTGTACTTTGTTCTTTTCTCATATATATATGTATAATCTCTATCTATCCTGTTTGTCCTTTTGCTTTTGTGTGTGTGTAAAACTTTAAAATTCTGCTAATAAATGCGAGAAGGGAGAGGCTTTGGTGGGAGAAGGTCCACTGATGGGAAGGGAAGCACCAATTGCTGTCTGAACCAGACGTCGAGGCAGATGGACACAGAGGAAAAGTTATCACTCCGAGGACCCCATGGGGGCTATACAGCAAATATATTAAATAAACCTGGAGGTGAAAGCAAAACAGGCAGGGCATTAGAAGATGGAACCCTCTCCCCATGCAATTCCCCTCCTCTCCTCTGGAAATGGTCCTGTTGAAGTGCCAGAGAAGAAGCCCAGGAGGGCTTGTGACCTCCTCTGCTTCTTCTCCTGGACAGCTTGAGGCATAGCTGAGATCTGCATGGCTTTGCATCATTTCCACCCTGGGAACGTGGGGTTAGCCAGGAGGATCCTGGGATAATCAGAGCTGTGCTAAGTGTGGGAACACCAATCCCAAGACACCGCCTGGTTCCCCTCAACCCCAGCTCCCAGAAGGCCACACACGGAAGCCCACTGGCCCCTCCTCAGGCAAGGGGAGGTGAATGTGAAGAGAGCAGCCCAGGCTCATCTGAGGGGCTTTCATCCCCGTCAGGCTGATGCCTCCCTCCAGATTCAACCCCTCACTGCTCTGTGCCCTGGCTAGTCCTCCTCTCTTTCCTGCACCTTTCCCTCTCTCATGGTGAACCAGGGCTCATTCTCCTTTCCCTTGCACCAGTGGAATTCTTTTGATGACAAGGGAATTAATCCTGTTTACACAAGTCAGGGAGAAAAGGATCAGACCCTGGACTGACAAAGTCCAGATCTCTTGCCAGAGATTCCAGTTCTCCTTTCCCCTGGTATGACCTTTCTTGTGCACACAGGCTTCCTGCTAGGAGAGGGACGAACCAAAAGTGTTGCTGCTTTTCAGTCTTCCTGCCAGCTCAACTAATGAAGTAAGAGCGAACGAGATCCCCAGAGCAACATTAATTCTCTGCTTTCAACAAAGAATCAATAGAGAAAGGAGAGCAGGAGTTGCTCCATGGAAGAGATGAATTACATGGATCCCAAGGGGATTTAGGTGCAGAGAGAAGTCAGCCTCCCTCTCTGAAAGGCAGAGAAAGGAGAGGGCAGGGCCCGAGAGCAAGTATGCTTGTGGTGTGATCCTTCCACCTTTGTGAAGAACCACAAAGCCATAAATAGGATGCACACGTCAGGTCCCAGCCTCATCCCTCCACCCAGATTTTATCACGCCCAGGCCCTGCAGTGGCCCCACGCTGAATGAGAGGCCTGGGCAGAACCATGTCCCGGGATAACACCTCCCCCTAGCTGGCCAGGCAGCTCGTGGTTACCTGCGTCATGCTCTCTCTCCCCTGGCAGCACTTCTATGCTACGAGGATTTCTCTCAGCACTTTCTTATCGTTGACATGCTTGTACTTCTTGTGCTTCCTCTTCTGTGCCGGCGGCCGGCGCACTCGCTGCCTGCGGGACACGGCGGCCGTGGTGAGCGACGGCGCCACGCCTGCCAAGACAGAGGGGAGAGGGTCTGTCCACGCCCTGTCCACCGAGGGCTCTGCCACGGGAGGGCCACAAGGCCTCCTTCTGTTCTCCTCTCCCTTGTCCTCTGTTCTCGCCACGGTCTCTGCCCTCTCCCTTTTCCCATGATGCCCTTCCCTTCGCCTCTCCCCTTCCCCCTTGTGTGAAGCGAGCCCTCATTCTTGGCTTTTGAAGACTCCCCTCCTTCACCCCCCTCGGTTTCAGCCCCCCAGGGAAGGCCCACGGGACTCGCTGGAGCTAGGGAGGCTGAAACGAGGGGAGGGCTCTTTCCTCTCTCCCCACACCTCCCTCCTCTCCACAAAGCAAGACCCTTACGCCTCTGGTCCCGTGGGGCCGGGCGGCTGCTCCTGGGGGGTGGGCGGGACACCGCCTCACACCGACACTGCACGTGGTCCTCCAAAGGCACAATGACTTTCTTGAATTTTGGCTTCCTCTGGACAAATTCGATCTTGTTCACCTATTTGGAAGAGAGAAAGAAGCAAGAGATTAACCCAGCTGCAGCTCTCACTCTGTAAAAACAATCCGTGTGGGCACGCTTCAGTACTGGCTTTCTTCCTTAAAGGTCAGGAGGCAGTTTGTAGAGCAAGGCTCAGATTTGGGGCTGGTGTGTACAGGAGCTAGTTCTGCACGCAGCAGCAGAGCAGACCCAAACCAGGCAAGTTTGGGGGTGACTGGTTGTTCCTAATTATGAACTTGATCACAGACAGAAACATGGGACGTGCAGAACACACCAGCCTGTCCCTGACAGATGGGATGGCAGAGACCTGGGGGAAACCAGAATCATATCCCTACAGGAAGGGTGAGAGGAGAAAAACTCAGGCCCCATGCAGACAAATGCAGCTTCCCCAGCTCTGCTGAGGCCTGTCTGAATTTGTCTCAAGCTCTTTAATAACTCTCAGGGCCGAAGCCCTCAGCTCTGCATTTCCCAGGAAAGGCAGCGCTCTGGAAATTCCCCCGGCCTCTCCCCCAGCGCTGACTCAGAGGGAAGACTCACTGCTCCACATCCCACCACAGGGCACGAGCTTTCTAGGGGTCCTCCCACTCCGGGGGTGGCCGAGCCTGACCCCACTCAGCTTATCTAGGACTGTGGTCCCTGAAGTGCTCCACGAGCTATAAATATTTGCCCTGCCACACGCCTGGGTTTGAATTCCTCTAAACCCACTGCCCCGGCAGCATCCCTCAGCCAGCCCTGGAGCAGCCAGGCTGTTTATCTTTCCTTGAAAGCCCACTCCACACGCTTCAGACCACACGCTGCTCGCTAGACAAACACTTCCAGCCAAACAATAGCGAGACCTCTGTCCTCAAAGAAACCATTTCCAGGTCACTTTTTCAGGCTGGCTTTTGACCCCTCGCTTGTTTTTTTCCACCAAAACAACTCCCGCTCCTCCTCATTTTTCCCTCATTCAGCTGGGCTTTTCTGAGAAAGGAATTTCCTGATGAAAAGGGCTGTGTGAATACAACCTCTCCCAGCCAACCTCTGCTGCCTGCCTGGGGGAGTCTCTTACGGCTCAGGCGGACGATTAGTGCTGGATGAGTATTATTTTTAAACAAGCTGCCTGGGAGGAAGCTGTGAGGAGATCACTGGTAGCTGTGAGGGGAGCAGGATCAGAGCAAGAGGTTATCCATCAGGTGCGTGCTGGCTGCTGGAGCGAGTCAGGAGGTGACCACGAGGCTGAGAAAGAGAAGCTGCTCTGTGTTGGGAAGAAGCTGCAGCAGCAGAGGGAGGATGGAGTGCTGACCCTGCAAGCCCTCTCTTTCTGTACCCAAGGCAGCTGATGGAACCGTCCTGTTTCCCCTGCTCTAGCACAGCAGACAAAGCCACCTCCAGCCGC